GTGCAGATGTCTTTATCATAGAATGTTTTTTGCTCGTTTGGGTAGATGCCTAATAGTGCTATTGATGGATCGAATGGTATTTCTATTTTTAGCTCTTTGAGGTATTTCCAAATTCTTTTCCTATTTCCAATTTCTTGAGTGACAGCAGGAAGAGCAGAGCTGTGACTAGTTGTTAGTTTGATCTCCCACAGGGAAGAGGTATTGATAGCAGTTGTCATTGTGTTGGTAAAGTGGTTGCTGCTAATTAACCTTCAGTCAAACCTGGATATTTTTTTTTTAAGTAGCTGTGGGGACTAGCAAAATTATACACTAATCCAAAGTGTTGATAATGTTACTTTTTCTTTGCTGTCACATGAAGTGGCAGAACTTTGCAACATGATGGTTAGAGTTGGGGTTGAAATTCGTGGAACTGCCAGAAGATAGCCTGTAATTCTTATCAGGGATTTGACATGGCGGGGGGGCGGGGGGGAGGTATTGTAAGAGATTGGTTGGTTTGGTTTTAATTAGCATGGCTGCATCCTACTGATAGGCATTTGGATTGTTACCCACCTTTTAGCTATTGTAGCAAGGTGTATTGAGGACCCCTGTACATTCAGGTGTACAAGATGATTGTAAACCTGTGTGATAAATTCTTAGAATATAACTCCTCGTGGCGTTTATATGTGGTTTGGGAAGATGGACATTAATTAGAACATTATATTAATAAATGTCAAACCAGAAGTGATGTAGAGGTTAAGAGTGATGGTTCTTCTGCTGATAGTCTGATAGGGTTTAATCCCCATTTTATCACTTACCAGTGATCTTGGATGAATTACTTCATATTTCTGTTTCCTTAGCTACAACATAAGGATAATAGTGGTAACTTTCCCCCTAGGGTTGTGAGGACTACCAAATTAATAGATACAATGTTATTAGGAAACTTGTAGTAAATAATACTCTAAATATGTTGCTATTAATGTAACAAATTATAAAAAGGCAGTTACATGTATAATTATCAGAAGGAACCCGAAAGAGGTGTTCAGCATAACAAGGATAGCTTCTGAGAGATGAGTTGACCAGGAAGGGTGGGTTGGGCCGTAAGTGTAAGGCTCTGAAGTAAGATTTGAGAAAGGGCCAGGAGTGGCTAAAAGAGCAGAGTGCATATTGGCAGGGATGGGGTGGGGATGGGGATTGGCAAGCATGGACAATGAGGCTAGAGGCTCACTAGATTTGGGATTTGGTGTCTGTTCTGAGATAAGTGAGTACAAATCCCAGAAGAGTTTTAAATTGGGAGTAGTAACGTGGTCAAGTTTTGATTTGTGGAAAGTTCTCTGGCTTGGGCTGGAGTGGAGAAATGTTTGGTAAGGGGTCCTGCAGCAGAAGGCACCTGAATGGATGTGGGAAGACACGGTGAGGCTGTTATAAACACGTGCTGAGATAGGACTTGGACTAGAATGTAAGAGTGAGTGATAAATGGTTCAAAATGGTTGAGAGAGAGCAGGACAAAACATTTTATGGACTGGCTGCAGAGGGTTGAGAGTTGGTAGTGCTGGAGTTTTTCAGACTGCTATTAACTTTTAGCGTTTAGAGCTGTACTACTACGGTAGCCACATGTGGGTATTTGAATTAATTAAAATTAAAATCTAAAGTTTCTCAGTTATGCTAGTCTCTCAAGTGCTCATCGGTCATATGTGGCTAGAGGTTGCTGAATTGAATAGCATAGATAAAGAACACTTCCATTGTCATAGAAAGTTCTAGTGGATAGCATTTAATTCTATTTTCTGATTTGGTTTATTAACATTTTGCAAAGAAAGAAGGACATTGTTAATAGTATTCTTTAAATATCAATATTTCTATAGATAGTGTTAACTGATTTTCATTATTTATTAAGTATTTAAATGTCTATAGTACTTTCTCCCGAAAAAAGGTGGTTAAGGGATTCACTCTGTTCTACACATCCTAAGATCCCATGCCCTACTAGGATTTGTGATTTATCAAATACTGGATTTTACATGTGACCATCAGCTGTACTCTCATGGATGTGATAGCCATGAAAGCCAGTCCTTATAATTCTCTTATTAAACATTTCTGAAGCTTTCTTACCACTTATAAACTTCCTGGAACTTAGAAGGCCCAGGGTTGATGACAGGTTCTTTGGTTCAGAGCCTACCTTTATTTTTTCTTCATGTACATAGGATATTTTTAAAACTTGGTGAAAGAAAACTTTAGTAGTATGATTGTTTTTGTTGTTGCTCTACTGTTGCCATCTTGAAGTGCATAATCGTTTATGTATTTTTTTTAATACACTTTATTCTTTAGAGTAGTTTTAGGAAATTAGAGCAAGAATGTACAGAGGGTTCTCAAATACTTCCTCTCCCTGC